TCCCTCAAGGCTAGGGGGGCCGGCGGCGGCAGCGGCTGTGGGGGCCCGAAGGGGAAGAAGAAGAACGGAAGGAACCGAGGGGGCAAAGCCAACAACCCTCCATACCTGCCCCCAGAGGTGAGCACCTGAGAAGTGGTGGGTGAGAGCAAACCCCTTCTTCCGGTCCCGGGACCCCGGGAAAGAAAATGAATCCCCCCTTCCGGTGTCAGGCCCCCACCCCCACCCCGGGGAAGAAGGGCGGGCCAGGGGGCCCCCTCCTTCCAGCCCCGGAACCCCAAGGAGGAGGGGCAGGGAGACTAGACGACCTCCCCTTCGGGGTCCAAACTCCCCTAGAAAGAGAAATGGGAAGAGAGGAACCCCTTCCTGCCCCCCCAAAACAGCAGAGTGGACTGCCCAGACCCTTCCCTGCACTGTGACAGGTGAAGGGGCTTGCTTCTTGGGGGGCGGGGAGACCACCACTTGTTCCAAAGTTGTTCCGTAATGTGGAGGAAGAGCAAAATATTCTCCCCACCTTCCAGAACACATGCACAGAGCCAGAGGGAAGGGGAAGCTTCATCCTCTCTCCCTTTGCCTGGCTGGGGGACGAGGAAGGGTGCCCACTCACACTTGCTCCCTCTATCCCAGAGGCAGGGTATAAGCAAGCCCTGGTGCCATAGTGTTTACGAGCTGGGCTGCTAACCACAAGTTCAGCAGTTCAAAACCACCAGCTGCTCCTCCAAAGAAAGATGGGACTATCTGCTCACTGGAGTTAGAGTTACAGGGGCAATTCTATCCTGTGCGCTGTTTCAGATTTGGTTTTGGTTTGCCCTCTTAGGAAAGGAGAGCCAAAAGCCATGGTTGTCAATCTTTAACCTGTCCCCACAATCCCCTGGTTGCCGGACCTCTCTCGAGAATTTCACAGCCAGTAGATTCCCCACCCCACCCCATTTCTTAGAAATTCCCAGGGGCTGTGGACGCTGAAGGCCCCAGCGCCACAGTGTTAGGACCCTTTCCCTTGACCATCATTTTGTACCCTCCCAAGTCACCCGTGCAGGATTCACACCCAGCAGGTTTAAAACGTCTGCAGGCTCTTTGCAGCTAGAAAATGCCCGCCCCGCTTCTCCCTCCCTGACCGGGAGGAGATGACCCAAGACCTGTCATAGCTGGAAAGCTGAGAGGATGGAGCAGGAAGGAAAGCAAAAGGAGGAGGAGAGTGCTGAAATCCAGAAGTGACCAAGCCAAACTCACCCCATCAGTCCATTCCCAGTCATAGCCAGCCAACAGGACAGGGGGAAACTGTCCCTGTCACTTTTCAAGATTAAATCATCCCGAGAGCCAAAAGCCTCATCTGTCGCCCAAGGAACAGCGGGTGGTTTCAAACCGCTGACCCTGTCAGCAGCCCAACGAGTAACCCCCTCCACCACCAGGACTGGGTAAAGCCATAGTGACAGAAGGTAGAGCAGTTGTTTCCGGGGGGTGGGGGGTGGGGGTGGGGGGGTTGCAGGAATGGTGATTGCTAATGAGTATAAGGTTTCTTTGGGGGATGATGAATTTTCTGGAATTAGACAGTAGTGATGGTTGTACAACCTTGTGAAAATATTAAATTGTACCCACCACAAGGGTGAATTTTATGGTATGTGAATTGTATCTCCTTTTTTTTTTTTTTTAAACACTCCCTTTTCCCACCAAAGTAAAGAAACGTAAGACAGACAAGAATTCTCCAGACCCTTATGGAGGGAAATTGGGCCGAGGGGACTGTCCTCCGGGCCCCTGGGCTCACTCTCCCTTGAATGACATGCTCTAGAGCAGCTTCCTGGGTCAGGGAGCCCAAACCCTCAGCCCCACCCCATCTCCTTGCACCCGAGTCTGTGATGGGTCGTCTAGTTCAAAAAGACGGTCAAAGAGATTGTGGGGGTGAGTTCAAGATTTTCACCTCACACGAGGCACCAGGATTAGCAGGCAGGAGATAAAGGTCCTTGTGAGTTTGGTGTGTGAAGTCTCACCCCTTCAGTATGTTTTCTGAGTCTCATGGGAGCCCACCTTTGGAGCTCTCACCGGTCACCTGGCCTCCTCTCTACGGGCTTGTAGTGACCGGTGCTGAGCTCACCCTTTGGTCTTGGTCCAGAACTTCTTGCAGCCTCTTATCCTTGATGACATCAGCAGAGAGGCCCCGGGCAGGAAGGAAGCAGTGTCTCCCAGGCCAGAGGCAAAGAAAGGCCTTGGGAGCCTGGACGTAGACTTCTGGGGAAGAAGTGAGGGAGTTGGGGGGCGGTGATCTTGGATTTTGGAGGAACGTAGTGCTTGTGGTTGAAGAAAGGAAGGGCTCGGGTTCCGTTCCTGGCCTCCTGCACAACTGGCTGTGTCTGTAGCGGCTTTTCCTTTGGCCACACTGGGCCTGTCTGCCACTGACCTTTGGCAGGTACATGCTTAGACAGGTGCCACCGGGACTTCCCAGGCCCCCATGGGAACCAGGAAGCCCGTGTTGGGTCCAGATGGCATATGGGAACTGCTACCCCTTTTATTTTCCTCCCCAGGCTGAAGATGGAAACATCGAATATAAAGTGAGTCTTAGGCAGGGGAGGGCCAGAGGGTCGGGGCAGGTTGATTGATCTGAGATTCTTCCAAACCTCATGATATCTAGAGATTGTCAGTCGGCACCCAGGCTCTGCCCCTCATTCTGTTGGAGGGAGGCTTACTGTTAAGAGAGGGTCAGGGACCAGGGATGAGGGGGTTTGGGTGGAAGGGGAGGGAGGGCTTGGGGCCTCTGGAGGGAAATGCTGCGCCTGTGGGCTTTGTGGGGTGCATGTCTGATTGACCATCTCATGCTCCCCCACCCCTACCCCCAAGCTGAAGCTGGTGAATCCATCGCAGTACCGCTTTGAGCACCTAGTGACCCAGATGAAGTGGCGGCTCCAGGAGGGCCGCGGTGAGGCTGTCTACCAGATCGGAGTGGAGGACAACGGGCTGCTGGTGGGCCTGGCTGAGGAGGAGATGCGCGCCTCCCTCAAGACCCTGCACCGGATGGCAGAGAAGTATGCCTGCCTTGCCCCTCGTCTCCCTGCCTCAGCCCCCCGGAGGCCCTGCCTGGCGGGCTCTCCTGCTGTTGCCGCCACCTCTGAATGATGGGCTGACATGGGGGGGCAGTGGAGGGGGGCGGGCGGGGGGAGGGTGTTTGGGGCTTGAGTTCCAACTTGAGTTTTCCTTTTGTTTGTTTTTTCTCCACTCCTGGGTGGAGTGGAGAAGGTTGGGAGGTGCAGTGAGGTGTCATGGGAGCCCCAGGAAGGCCAGGGGTCCAGAGCCCGGACAGGGGGCCCGAGGGCAAAGTGTGGCAAACTTGGCCTTGTCGTGACAGAGTTGGGGCTGACATCACGGTCCTCCGGGAGCGAGAAGTGGATTATGATAGTGATACGCCCCGGAAGATCACCGAGGTGTTGGTACGAAAGGTCCCTGACAACCAGCAGGTGAAGCACACGCTCTCCCCTGGCCGGCCGGCCCCCACCCACGTCCCCTGGGAGGGCCCTGAGGTGGCAGTCTCCCTGGCCTGGGCCCTGCCCCCTGTGCAGTGGTTGAGGCCCTGAAGCCCTGACCCCTGGTGCTTCGTCCACAGTTTCTGGACCTCCGAGTGGCCGTCCTGGGAAACGTGGATTCGGGGAAGTCGACTCTGCTGGGAGTCCTGACCCAGGGGGAGCTGGACAACGGGCGGGGCCGGGCCCGGCTCAACCTTTTCCGACACCTGCACGAGATTCAGTCGGGCCGCACCTCCAGCATCAGCTTCGAGATCCTCGGATTTAACAGCAAGGGAGAGGTGCATGTGCTCAGCGGGACCCAGTGGGGCCAGCCTCTGAGCCAGGGATGGGAGTAGTGAGGACCAAGGCTGGGGGCCGAGCGTGAAGGCTCTTGGGATTGGGCAGTGTAGAGGAGGGTCTGCAGGGAGCTGGGATCAAGTGCTAGCCCTCTCAGGAGACAACTCCAATAAGCCACGGGGCAGGTGGAGCCAAGGGTGATGAGGCCAGTGGCCCGGGGACTGATTGAGGCCAGGGCTGGGGAGGCAGGCAAGTGGGCACTGAAGGCCCTGGGCTCCGGGCCAGGTGGTGAATTACAGCGACTCCCGGACAGCCGAAGAGATCTGTGAGAGCAGCTCCAAGATGATCACCTTCATCGACCTGGCCGGCCACCACAAGTACCTGCACACCACCATCTTTGGCCTCACCTCCTACTGCCCCGACTGCGCCCTCCTCCTTGTCAGTGCCAACACTGGGATAGGTATGCAGCCTGGGAGCCGGCTTGGGGGACCATGGGAGAGACCGACACTTTCAGACCCAGGAGCCAGACTAACGTCCCCTCCTCCCTCCCGTCTGCTCTCTCCCCTTTCGGTGTTCTGGGGAGGCAGCCGGCACCACCAGGGAACATCTGGGGCTGGCCCTAGCCCTGAAAGTGCCCTTCTTCGTCGTGGTCAGCAAGGTAGACCTGTGTGCCAAGACCACGGTGGAGAGGACAGTACGGCAGTTGGAGCGAGTGCTCAAACAGCCTGGCTGCCACAAGGTCCCCATGCTGGTCACTTCCGAGGATGACGCCGTCACCGCTGCCCAGCAGTTTGCCCAGTCACCCAAGTAAGTGGAAGCAGGTGAAGGCTGCCCCCCTGCAAGGGTTTCTCCCCCGAGAAGGCTGCCCTAAGACCTAGGATCCCACCCCCCAGGGCCAGATGGCTTCTCCGTTCTGTGGGTCTTTAGCTTGGGAATGTGGGAGGGCATCTTGCCTGATGCCCTCCTTCCCCTGTCCAGTATGGAGGTGTCTGATAGCCGGCGACCCCTGGCATCCATCACTCTCCTCGTGCTCTGGCTGGGTCTCATGTGCGGGTACACAGAGATCGCACTTAGAGCAGCGGTTCTCAACCTGTGGGTCAGGACCCCTTTGGGGGTTGAACGACCTATCATAGGGGTCGTCCAATTCATAACAGCAGCAAAATGACCGTGATAAAGTAGCAACGGAAATAATGTTATGGTTGGGGGGGTCACTACCACATGAGGAACTGTATGAAAGGGTCATGGCATGAGGGAAGTGGAGAACCACTGACTTAGAGCCTCCCAGGAGGAGGTTAGCAGCTGGGAGGAAAGGTCCCTCAGCCAACCCTTCCCAGGTGTGAGCCCCCACCCTCTGCCTCTCGTTGGGAAGGTCCTTACCTGTCCATTCCATGTTCCCCTCCCAGTGTCACCCCAATCTTCACACTCTCAAGCGTGTCTGGAGAAAGCCTGGACCTGCTTAAAGTCTTTCTGAACATCCTGCCGCCGCTGACCAACAGCAAAGAGCAAGAGGAGCTCATGCAGCAGCTGACGGAGTTCCAGGTAGTGGCCGGTCGGCCGGGAACCCACAGGAAGGGGCCCCCATGGAGGACCGACTCGGGGACCGGCCAGCCCTGCATGGCCGCCCGCTGATGGGGCCTTCTCTGACTTCAGGTCGATGAAATCTACACAGTACCGGAGGTGGGGACTGTTGTTGGAGGGACACTGTCCAGGTGAATTGCCTTGCTCGCTGCCCATCCTATTCAGCTCTTGCTCTCTTCCTCGGGAAGACATGGTCCCAAGGAACAGGCCCCTCGACCCCCACCCCTTATCGAGCAGTGCCCACCGAAAGGCTGTGCTTGTTGGCAGGTCACAGAAAGCTGTCTGTTAGCCTGGGTGGGAAGACAGGGGATTACTGCTTAGTGGGCATCACCGGGCCCAGGAAGACACTGGAGTGTACCCACCTGACGTCATCCCCCATGGGGAAGAGGCCAGGGCCCTTAAGAGGACGAAACCAAGGGGATAACTTGGCCCTTCCGGGACCAAGGCTTCTGTGTCTTCACAGTAGCTGCCACCTGCATCTCAACCCCAGACTAGGGCACCTCCAGCTCTAGCCCTGGACTTAGGATCCCTTAGCCTCCTCTCAAGGATCAAGCTCAGGAGGGACAAAATTCCCCGGGTGGCCCCAAGCAGTAGGCCGACACTGAAAACCACCCGCCCTCTGGGCTGCAGCGGGATTTGCCGCGAGGGGGACCAGCTGGTGGTGGGCCCCACAGACGACGGCTGCTTCCTGGAGCTGAGAGTGGGCAGTATTCAGCGCAACCGTTCGGCCTGCCGTGTGCTGCGAGCTGGGCAGGCCGCCACGCTGGCCCTTGGGGACTTCGACCGCGCACTGCTTCGCAAGGTGAGGTGGGTGGGTGGGTGGGCGAGTGGGAGCGGGACCTGGGAGACAAGGGCCTTGGACAGTGGTGCTGCAGGGCGAGCACCTGTCTGAGGGACTGCAGAGAAACTCCAAGGCAACGTGGTCTCCAGGCCTAGCAGCTTCTGATCCGGTCTGTTACCCAAACTGTGTGTGCATGCAAAGGGTTAGGCTGCTCACCAAGGGCAGACCACTGTGATCCACTGTGGACTGGGCCCTAACCTTGGGGAGAAGTACGAAGGCTGGAGGACCCGGGAGGTGGGTGAGGAAAGATTCCTCTCCTGAGCTCAGGCCCGAGGTCCTATCCTGGAGGAAGGGGAAGCTCAGGGGCTGTAAGAGGGGCGAGGGGTGGGCTGGGGCCAGAGCCTCTAATGCTAGGTCTGCCTCCAGGGCATGGTGATGGTGAGCCCTGAGATGAATCCCACCATCTGCTCCGTGTTCGAGGCGGAGATAGTTCTCCTGTTCCATGCCACGACCTTCCGGCGGGGGTTCCAGGTGACGGTGCACGTTGGCAATGTCCGCCAGACTGCAGTGGTGGAAAAGATCCATGCCAAGGTGACTTGGGGGGTGGCTTCTCAGCGGGAAGTTGTCCGACCCGGGCGGGCTGGCCCCTGGCATGTAGTGCCTACCCCCATGCCACCGAGGGCACACCACCCCCAAGAGTGGGAATAGGCTTGGCTGGCCTCCCAGAGGGTGGAGGGCCAAGACTGGGGATGAAGGGGCCGGCCAGTGACTGCATCTCCGCTGCAGGACAAGCTGCGGACAGGGGAAAAGGCAGTGGTCCGTTTCCGCTTCCTGAAACACCCGGAGTACTTGAAGGTGGGCGCCAAGCTGCTGTTCCGGGAGGGCGTCACCAAGGGCATCGGACATGTCACCGACGTGCAAGCCGTCACAGCCGGAGAGGCCCAGGCCAACATGGGCTTCTGAGCACCACCACCCCCACCCCCCGGGTGGGGACAAGTCAATTGCCGCCCCTCCAATACACAGTGACTTCCGCCCGCTGCCCACTGTTGGCGGCTGTGTGTGTGAATAGGCTAGGGAGAGGGGTGCTCCCTGCCACGTGCCCCCCATCACCCTTCTGGGGTGGCCTGGGGCAGGGCTGTTCAGAGGGGGACGGAAGGAGTGTTCAGGACAGTGGTAAGCAGCTGTGTGCCACTTGCTGACTCCGTGGCCGCTCTGCTGGAGGGGGCTGGCCGTGACCACCCTGGCCCTGCTGTCAGGGCCCAGTGTGATCCTGCCGGGTGCTCCCTGCACTTCAGGAATTGTCACAACCAGGGTTGGCCCTTGAAAGCACTCCTTTTTCGGATACCTCTTCTCAAGGCTTTGGAATTTGCCCATCGCTAGCTGACTGTGGACACAAGAAATCAGGGCCCGGCCCAGGGTCTGCGGAAGCAGCCCGGGCCAGCGCACAGTTGGCCGTGCTCTGAGCCTGTTTCTCAGCTTTACGCCCCTTCGCCTCCCCTCTCGGCCCCACAGGTGCTATTTATTGTGCTGGCCCAGGCGTGGGGCTGCCCGAGCTAAGGCCTGGCACATCCAAGGTCAGCTGCATGTCCTTCCGTCTTGTCTTTTACTCTGCAGTGATCTGTTGATTTTAATGCTGGACCCCATAGGAAGGTTTAACACCCCCCCACACACCCCCCAACACCACCATCTAGTAGTGGCTGGGCACCTAGCCCACAGCTCCCCAGCCGGCCGGCCATGCTTCCCCGGCCCTCCCTGCTCTGAGGCCTCTCACTTTGCTGTTATGCAGCAACCATCCCTTTCCCTCTATGCAGGGAAGCGGAGGAAAGGGAGAGCCCTTGCCATACTCCCCCAATCCCACCCCCCCAACTAGGCCTGGCCGCCTCCTTCCCCTGTTTGCCTCCTGGGTTCGCATGGACTCGGGGATTTGTCGGGCAAGGTTTCTCTGCATATATATATATATCATATATATATATATATACACACACACACATATATTGTACAGAATAAAAGTGTTTTATTGGATACACTGTACTTTGATTAAGATCCAGGCGTAGCCTCCAGAGCTAAGAGTCCTCCCCAGGAGTAGAGCAAGATAAACCAAACTCCAGCATCGCTGACCCTGACTCGCTGGACGACACGTGAGCAGTGTTCTGGCCTGTTCTACATAGTTCTCGGAGTTAGCAGAGTATAAAGTGAAGCCTACCCTTTTCAATGGGCATGGGCAGCAAGCTCCCCTACAACGAGGAGCCCTCCATGGTTCCCTGAAACTAATGCTGTCAAGAGATGGTGAGATTAGAGGGCCAACTGCTTACAGACAAAACTGAGACAAAAGGTAATTTGGCTCTTCTCGCTTTCCCTAGCAATGACAGGTAGCCTGAAGTATGGTGTATATGCTGCCCAGGGCCACCTGGATGATGCTACGTCCCTCTTCCTGTTTGAGTATCTGAAGACGTTTTATAGGTACAAGCGACTGCCACCCAGTGACCCTTTAGGACAGAGTAGAACGGCCCCTGTGGATTTCCAAGACATTCTTTGCAGAAGCAGAAAGCCTCATCTTTCACCCTTGGAGCTGCTGGTAAACCCACAGTGCCACCAGGGCTCCTTGATAGGTATAAAGTCAAATTGGGGGGGGGGCGGGGCGGACTTAGAAAAATAGTAAAGGATTCCCAAGATCCCCTGGGGCATTCTGCCTCCAAGGTATTAAATGGCAATTTCCTCGCAACTCCTGGGCTCAGCTACTTTTTAAACTAGCTTGGGTTTAACCTGCTACTAAGCAACCCGGTGGTTAAAGTTTCTGTATCGGAATGCAGAGCTCTACTTAACTTCTGTGCTGCTGCTGATACATAGTTGCAAAGAAAACCCAAACTCTGCAGAGTTGCCAGCTCACAGTGATCCAATCGGACAGGGTAGAACTGCCCCTGCTGAGTTTCAAGACCTTAACTCTCTATGGGAGAACCTGCACCACCAGAGCTGGTGGTGGTTTCCAACTGCTGACTCGTGACCACTACACCACCGGGGGCCCGTCACAAAGAAGGAAAGGCTAAATGCAGCAAAAAGGCACTAGCGTCGACCTAACCCTGCATGGTGACAGGCTGGGAGTATCCCCAAAGGAACAGAAGGCTTGCCACCCACCAGCCGTCTCCTGCCACATGCACGACTGGTGTCCTGAAATGAGCGGAACCCGGGTTCACACGGTAGCATTTCTCTGCGTGGGGCCTTCATGCCAGGAACAAGAAGAGAAAGGGGGAGAAGCTTGTCAACCCAAGTCATTCCAACCACGGTTTTTGTTTTTAAAGTACCTCTTTTTTCTGGGTTAACAAAAAGGGAAGTTTGGAAAGTCAACATCTCTATACTTGGTGACTTTTTCTGGGGCTCCTGAAAGAGTGGGAGCCACTTTCTAACATGGATGGGGCATTTAGGGGGATACAGAGCTGTATGCAGGCAGGCCCCCCAGCAGGATCATTTCAGTTTGGGTAATCCGATGGAAGCTCTTTCACCACATGCATTGATTGACTATCCAGCTCCTCTTAGGTGCCAGGCACCATGCAAGAATTCTTGCCTTCAAGAATCTATAAATCTAGTGACGAAGCCATGTATACTACTGATTTTTATTAGAGCGCTGATTTTATTTCCATGAATAGAACACATAGAGGAAGAAGTGATTTTCAAACTGCTCTCCTTTCTTCAAGCTAAATGTAGATTCCTCCCTAATGTATAAATAAGCCAAAAAGTACAGGTTTATGTAGATGTCTGGGGTGGGGTGTGTGGGTACATACCATTTTCCCTTTCTATTTACCCCCACCCCACCCTACTCAGTTTATCTTTACAACTCAGGTTTCCCATGAGATGTCAGAAAAGCCAAAAAAGTTGACTTCCCATACGTAAGAACGGAGATTAAGAATTCAGTATCATTTGACAAGTTGAAAGCGCTACAATAATGAATTTTAAAAATGGAGTTAAAACTCTCAAAGCTCACTTCAGCAAGGAAGACGTTTCTGAACTGGGTCAATAGCAGCAATCTCATTCTGCTTAAGTATGAGAGGAGACAGGGCCGACAGGCTGCTGCCCCCGTTACACAGGGTTTGTTGTTAGGTGCCCATAGGTCCATTTTCAAGCACACTGTCCCCTGGGGGCTTTCTGGGCTGCAATCTTTAAGGAAGAGAAGGAGCTTGCTGGCAAAATGGCTCAGGGGTCGGTGGTGGTTCGAGCTCACCATGGGAGAAAGACCTGGTGGTTTGATTTTGTAAAGGGACCCTTCTAGGAAGCCCTCAGGGGCAGGTCCCCTCTGTCAAGGGGTGGTGACGAGTGTAAAGTCACCATTGGTTCATAGTAACCTTTATGGAAATCGAGCGCCAGGTCTTCCTCCCTTGAGCCACTGAATGGATTTGAACTCCCAACCTTTCAGTTGGCAGGCGAGCACTTAGCCATGGTGCCAACAGGGCTCTTTATACTAGGGTTCACTGGAGCCGAATTCAGGATTTGAGTAACTTTTATGTGCACAGTCTGCTTCAACAGCTGACTGTATTTCTGTAGGGCTCCATCTGAGAGAGTTTGGGGCAAAGTACTACCTGCACCGTCACAGGGCTGATGGGAAACTTGAAAACCCTTACCAGTTCATACCTCCTCTGTGCCAACTTTTCAAGCTAGGCACTGCATGCTTTCTACCTTTAATAATCTATAAAGCATTCTTAATTGTACAAATGAGGAGAAGCCTGCTCACAGGCAGAGCGAGGGGTAGAACCAGGTCTCCTGGGCTCCAGGAAACACACACTTCTCACTGTGCAGCACCGCCTCCCTAAGTGTGACAGCTCAAAGATTCAGAGCCGCTCTGAATCCCATGGAAGATGGATTCTTAGTCTCTACTGGCAAAGGGACTGGATTCCATGGCTGGGAAGATAGGAGCTGTAACTCAGCGCCTAACTGGATTCATTTGCTTATTAAAAACTTAAGTTATGAATTCCCTGGAGAAGTGAATACATTTCTATCTCCCAGGGAATAGACAGATATGAACACCTTAGGGCAGCCCTAATGGGCTAATGGTTTAAAAAAAGATTCCAGTGTCTGCATGCCCTCAGCCCTGGGCCGTTTAGTACTGGAGGCCACAGGGCTCTTGAGGTTTCTTTTGCCTTGAGGAGAAAGGGTAGGAACCATGCGGGGGTGTGGGGATTGGGGCTGCACAAAGGATTTCTGCAACTCTAAGGCAAAATGATAGTCCGCGTGTTCCGGCATCTCCCACACTGGCACCAGGGAGCCACACTGCTCACACGAAACTTGGTCTTCAGCGTCCAGGAGACTCGGAGTGGGCACTGCCTCTTGAGCCTCACCCAGCGCTGACGTGGGGGTGGTTACGGAAGCGAGCATGTGGGAGCTGCTCAGGGCCAAAGCCGTCCCCACAGGAGCTGCGCCCGCGGGTCCTGCGCTCAGCACCTCTCCACAAGCCTGCACACGGCCTGGGGAGTCTGTCGGAGAGTGGTTTGGGAACCCTTGAGGGCTGGAGCTGGGCTTTTGTGGAGAACAGGAAACCGAAGGGTTACTAACTGGTTTCTGTTTTAGGGCTTCCAGGCTTTTTTGCTTAAAGAAGGGCTCAATCCCCTTAGCCTGACTGGTCTGGAAAGGCAGTGCGGGTTTGGATGGCGACTTGGTCACGGGGGCCTGGGTGGTGGCGGTCGGAGATGAGAAAGAAGCTTCTTTGCCTTTCTGCTTCTCTGCAGCTTTTTGGAAGAAGGATTCCAGAGAATTGGGTGCTTTCTTGGTGGCTGCTATGGATGGGCCACTTCCCTGCGTCTTAGCTTCTGAACTGGCACCTGGCGCCTTTGGCAAAGAACTTGGGTCACTGCTCAAGAAGATGGTGATGTCTGTGCCAGACCCAGGGGTGGAAGCAGAGAATTTGGAGGCCGAGAGGAAAAGCATCGTGAGGGGAGGGGACCTGTACGAAAGGAAAGAAATGAGGTGAGCCCTGATTTCCGAGTTGAGGACAGATTCAACGCCTAAATGATTGGGAGTCTGCTTCTACCCCAGAAGACATGACTACATGGCCCAGCAGTGGACCGGAAACATTCCTGCGTATCTGATTGTTAACACAGGTTCAGCAGACCTGGAGGGGACAGGCACTGGTGTTTCTAGCAAGTTCTTAGCGGTGGCTGCTGCTGCTGCTGATGATCTGAGACACTCTTTTGATTGAGAGGAAGACAATCACTGACTTAGCAAACACCCACCTTAGGATAGTTCCCTGACAGTGGGGGATTCTTTTTAAAATACATTTCTGATGTAGAGCTGCTATGGTTCAGGGTTGGATGGACGGACACACACACACACACACACACACACACACACACACAATTCAGGGTTGGGCAAGAAAACAAAATTGCTTTTTTCATTCAAGGCAACAGAAACCTACCCTAAAGACCAGCTTCTCCTAAAGTGGGTGATCCCGCCCCCTTGGGGGTGGGTCGCTGGGATGATCCAGGTTGCTGCAAAGCGGATTCCTACACTTTATCCTGGATTATGGGCAATGGCACAAAAGTTTTTATTTGCCAGGGGGGCACTGACTAATTTTTTTTTCCTGGAAAGGGGGTGGTAGGCCCAATCAGTTTGGGAATCTATGATTTAGAGTAATAGTTAATATTTAATCATAAATAAATAATAATACTAATAAACTGGAAAGACTGCAAACAAATCCTTTTAAGCCATTCCAGACAGATTTTCCACTCTGCACTTTCTCGGGAATGAAATTCTACAACTCCTTTTGATCACCCACCCTGGTGTCTCGGAAACATTTCCAAAGATTGCTGTCACAGTTCTTCACTCTGCCAGTTACCCACATCGGTTTTCACATGACGGAACTTAAGAGAACACATTCTTCTACATCGATGAGCCCTCAGTGAAGAGAACAATCCACACCACCGTGCGTCACAGCGATCATAAGAAGCGCTGTTTTTAAATGCGGGCAGTGCCTCCCCATCCTCAGGCTTTACACCTCGGGACAGTCCACCGGCAGGTCATCTTGATGCTTCCCTCGCAATAAACCTCGGGCTCGTGGTGAGAAGCACTCTAGTCTTCCATACGAACATCGTATTACATCTAAAACATTTTAGTATTTAAAAGGCAGTGGGAAATAAAAGGTAAATTATCCTACGTAAAGAACAAAGGCTCTCAAACTTCAGAGACCCTGTCATATTGTAGAGGTCTGTACAGTTAATAGTTGTGTCAATAAATCTCTCTACACGATGAGTTAAGTGATTCACCAAACTATCATTTCAATATAGACCATCTAGTCTGTTGTTGCTATGCGCCATCAAGTTGATTCCAGCCCACAGCCACCGGCTACGGCAGCTGAGCGCTGCCTGCTAGACTCCCGGGAGCAGATGACCAGGTCTTTTCTCCCAGGAAGCCAGTGGTGAGTTCACACCTAGAGAACTCCCTTTTCTCAATGTACTATAATAGATACATTGTTCATGGCCAAGTAGAGGGTCAGTGAAAGAGAGGTCATCCTCCCCTGACGGATTGACACGGTGGTGGCCGTAGCAAGGGGCTCAAACATAATTTGCCGGGACTGGGCAGTATTGCATTCTGGGTCACCATGAATCAGAACCGACTTGACAGCACCTGCCAACTGACAACCTGCAAAATAAGTCAAGGATCCCAGGTGTGAAAACCATTCCTACGTGGGCAGCAGATGAACACACTTCAAAAAGAGACTCTCCCATAGACTTTGCCCAATTTCATGAGCAACTGAAGCAAAATTTACAGAAACATATGGCATTTGTTATAACACCAGAAGAACGTATAACTGAGTTGGGATGTTAGAGATTATCAACAGGTTTTTAGAACAGGACAATCAAATCGTTGACAGAAGTCTCTACACATATTCTTGGAATTTGAGTTTCATACTCCAAGTGCAGTGGGCTGTTACTCGGCCACTAGCAGGTTAACTCCGCCTTCGAGTCCTGGGAATCTGCATGCACCAAATGGTAACAAGGAGGTTTCAGCTGAGCTGCCTTGCTTTCAGCATTGCAACTGGGTTTCCTCCCTCAGTGAAAGACCAGTCCCCTCTGCTCGAAGTGTACTAGCCAGAGTCACAAAGAGCTCAGCCTGGCTGGAAGAGATCATTTTAGAGCTAAGGCAGGCCATACATCTCTTGCAAGGAGATATGCTCAAAGAGAACCCACCACTGCGCTTGGATCCCAGAAGTGTTACAGTTCCTGATGACAGCAAATGCGTCCTGGCTCATCTTGTGTGCGTCATAGTGGGTGAGGGCACAACAGCGGCGCAGGCTGCTGAGACGCCTGTCTCCTTGTATCCGAATGCTCACAGCCAAATGAGTGGCCACCCTGTTGTTCTGTGGGCGGGAGAGGATGGAGACCAGAACTGAGGTTACCATGAACATCTGGATTTTATGCGCTGAATTGCAGGAAAGGAAAGTACGGGGTGCCAGAGTGGTGTGGAAACAGAAAGTTCAAAAGTCAACAGTGCAGCTGTTTATTCCAGCATTTTTCAGGTAAGTTACAAATATAGACTGAAGACCTGTTATGCACAAGACACTATTAGGTACTCTGAGGGATGCAAAGACATTTCCTATATTCATACATCTTATATATGAACAGTATATAGTCTATAGGATAGAATCATTTTATCAAAAAACATTTCTGGGTGAAAAAAGTAAGTGGAGAAGATAGAATTGGGGTGATGAAATATTAAGATAGGGAGACGATTTTGACATTGATGGAAAATCACAACAATAAGACCACTGTTGTCAAGTCCATCCCAGCCCCTAAGTCCCCTATGTGGGGTTCCAAGGCTACACATCTTACGGAGTAGACAGCCTCGTCTTCCTCCTGGGGAGTGGCTGGTAGGTTTGAGTTGCTGACCCTGCAGTCAGTAGTCCAACACCTCCCAGGCAACACCACCAGGAACGAGAGAGAATGAATGAAAATGTCTGTCTGTCTGTTTTGAGTAGCTGCCATACGATGTTCTATTTCATGAACTGTCTAAAGGGAAGCTCCAGCTACGGTGTCAAAGATCGAGCATCTGTGCCAACCTTTCTTTTCCCTGCTGTGATTCTCTTATGCTTAATGAGAACAGACGTTTCCTGTAGCACCTGCTGCTTACCGCCCATGTGTAGAAGATCTGTGCAGTGAGCCTGCCTCTAGAGAACACGCTAGGCATCTGAATGAGAGATAAAGGCCAAGAGGCAGACATCACGTGAACAGTCTACATAGCGAGTCCTTCAAAATCACCGAATATTACAGAAAATGCCCTTCAGGCAAAGGAGACGAGAAGAGCAATTGGGGGGGGGGGGGCTGTTAAGGAGGCCATGGAAATAGCATGAAAATACATCTGTAGAGTTTGGTAACTTGAGAGAACACAAGCTGACAAATACAAGGAACCTTTCTCAAGCAAAGCTTTTGGATGACAAGTGGATGCCCGTGGGAGCTGTCCAGGCACTAGAAATCCAGGAGAAACACAAAACACAGTCCAGATCCTCGTGGTCTCACTGTGGTCCTGGAAGACGGAGACGATAAGGACAAATAAGGACAAAGATGCGCGCGATGGACAAGACAGAGCCGAGTAAAGTGGCTAATGTCTCCATGGTTGGAGCAGGCTTCGCCGAGGAGCCAATGAGAGCTAAGCAGAGATCTGAATACAGTGAGCGAGAGCTGCTAGGCAGGCATCAGCAGAGGCTCTCCAGGCTGAAGGACCACTACCGGCAAAGGGGGTGAGGTGGATGCCTCCTTGGGGTATCAGAGAAAAGGGTGAGGCCCCAAAGGCTGGAGGGGAGGGTGTGCGGGGGAGAGGACAGATGAAGTCAGGAGACAGAGGCCTGATCATATTGGGTTCTGCAGAGTGGAAGCAAAGACCAATCAATCCTGAACATGGCTGAAGCATGAACCGGCTGCCACCTGGGCTGTTTTCAACAATGAAGTTGCAGAGTGTGCTACACCAGATTACTCTTTTGACCAAAAGTCCTTAGAAACATGAGGCTAGATAAGTATTCAGGGATCTGCCGGTGCTGCACAGGGTGGCTTAAAGAGAAAGGGAGTGACACCTAGTGGCAAAGTCAAATAGGCGGATGACCACGGGACTCCTATCCCAGTTGCTTAGTGGAAGAACACTCGCCGCTCGTTCCTGCTAAAGGAGGAGCAGACTGTCATCCTGGACTCCTCCAGGAAGTAACCCCAGTTGGTTTATAGGCTTCTCAGATGTCTCAAAAAGAGAAAGCACACCAAACTATACCTTAAGTGAAAAACAAACAAAACTCCCTACAGACTGGAGAAAAATACTGACAAATCAGACATCTGACAAGGAACAAGATCAAGACTTAATATAAAGAACTCCTAATATAATAATTGAAAACAAAATACCCGAATCTTGAAAATGGATGAGGGATTTCAACATACTTTTCTCTGAAGACGATATACATATAGCCACAGGTGCATGAACAAGAAGCTGAAATCAACATCATGAGACAATGCAGATCCAAACCACAATGAGACCCCTGACACCCACTGCCAGGAACCAGTTGTCGTGGAGGGGGTTCCAACCCACAGAGACCTCAAGTGTGCCGGGTAGAACTGGGGACCCCAGGTCTTTCAGTGGCTGCTTTTGCCAGAAGTTTTTTCCATGGTGCCACTGGGTAGAAGTCAAGCCTCCAGCCTGTCCGTTATCAGCTGAGTGAATGAACACAGTACTGACTAGCAGGGCCAAATCAAAAAGATAGAGCAAGGAGGGCTGACAGATGTGGAGGGCTGGTGTACTCTTAGTGGGACTACTAACTGGTGCGACTACTTTGGAAAACAAGCTTGGCATTTCCTCAAAAGGAAATGACTCAGCAATTCCACTCAACGAAAGCATATGTCTACTAAAAACTCATATGGGAGTTTTTATTTATAACAGCCTACATGTCTATCCACTAATGAATGGATCAAGCAAATGTAGTCTATCCATACAGTGCAATATTATTCAGGCATTACAAAGGAGTGAAGTAGCAATACATACACCATGCCTGAACATTTGCTAAGTCACAGACCAAGTCACAAAAGGTCACATGCTGTATTATTCTGTTTACATGAAAAGCCAAGAAAAAGCAGATGTATTGAGATAGCTAGATGGATGGATGATGGATGGATGGAAGGAAGGTAGGTAGGTAAACTGACTCGCGGTTGCCTTGGGCTGAGGACCAGAGAGGGAAAGGGAGAACAACTGCTATTAGTTAGAGGGCTTCTTGATAAAGTGTGGAAATGCTCCAGAATTGATTGTGGTAATGCTTGCATAGCTGGAGTATACTAAATCCACGTGAATTTATGCTAGGTGAAATGTACATTAAATATTTCTTTGAAAAAGAGCAAAACCCTGTCTTGTTTTTATGCATGTTGTCTCCGCAGGCCTGTCTGGATAGGACAGGCTGGATGAACAATCTGGAGGAGAAAACAACGGGACTGACAGTTCCG